TGGCAGTGGAGTAGTAAGTACATTTGACAAACACTTTCTCACATGTCGACAGCTGGGGTTATCCACGCCTTATCGGTGCCCCAAATGGGTAATGCTGCGGTCATCAGTTGTCTCCATGATGACCCTTAATTTGTCATCGCTGTACCCTTATTCGTAGGTTTCACTCTGTGGCCAACGTCAACGACCTGCATCACTTTAAACATTGCTCCCACAACACATGTACACACCCTGACACACCTGAGCTCTGTACTCTCTCAATCATTGCAAGTATGGGGCTGGGTCACACATAACGCTATGCAGTGAAAGCAATGTACATGTGTCGTGAAACCCATGTACACATGCAGTGAAACTAATGCACATATGCGGTGAAACCAACATACATATACACTGAAACCAACATACATATGCAGTGAAACCAATATACATATACACTGAAACCCATGCACATATGCAGTGAAACCAACATACATATGCAGTGAATCCAATGTACATATGCAGTGAAACCAATGTATATACGCAGTGACACAGCAAACTTGTGCAGTGAAACCAACGTATATATGTAATGAAACCAACATACATGTGCAGTGAAACCAATGTACATATGCAGTGAAACCCGTGTACATATGCAGTGAAACCAACATACATATGCAGTGAAACCAATGTACATATGCAGTGAAACCCGTGTACATATGCAGTGAAACCCATGCACATATGCTGTGAAACTAATGTATATATGCAGTGAAACCCGTGCACATATGCAGTGATACCAACATACACATGCAGTGAAACCAACATACATATGCAGTGAAACCAATATACATATGTTATGAAACCAACATACACATACAGTGAAACCCATATACATATGTAATGAAACCAGTGTACATGTGCAGTGATATCAATGTACATATGCAGTGAAATCAACATACATATGTAATGAAACCAATATACATAAGCAGTGAAACCAACATACATATATAATGAATCCCATATGCATATATTTATGAAACCAGTGTACATATGCAGTGAAACCAACATACATATACACTGAAACCAACATACATATGCAGTGAAACCAATGTACATATGCAGTGAAACCAACATACATATGCAGTGAAACCCGTGCACATATGCAGTGAAACCAACATACATATGCAGTGAAACCCGTGCACATATGCAGTGAAACCAATGTACATATGCAGTGAAACCCGTGCACATATGCAGTGAAACCAACATACATATGCAGTGAAACCCCTGCACATATGCAGTGAAACCAATATACATATGCAGTGAAACCCGTGCACATATGCGGTGAAACCAATGTACATATGCAGTGAAACCCGTGCACATATGCGGTGAAACCAACATACATATACACTGAAACAAACATACATATGCAGTGAAACCAATATACACATACACTGAAACCCATGCACATATGCAGTGAAACCAACATACATATGCAGTGAAACCAATGTACATATGCAGTGAAACCCGTGTACATATGCAGTGAAACCAATGTATATATGCAGTGACACCAATGTACATATGCAGTGAAACCCGTGTACATATGCAGTGAAACCCATGCACATATGCAGTGAAACCAATGTATATATGCAGTGACACCAACATACATGTGTAGTGAAACCAACATACATATGTAATGAAACCAACATACATGTGCAGTGATACCAACATACATATGCAGTGAAACCAATATACATATGTTATGAAACGAACATACATATGTAATGAAACCAGTGTACATGTGGCGTGATACCAATGTACATATGCAGTGAAATCAATAAAAATATGTAATGAAACCAATATACATAAGCAGTGAAACCAACATACATATATAATGAAACCCATATACATATGTAATGAAACCAGTGTACATGTGCTGTGATACCAATGTACATATGCAGTGAAATCAATAAACATATGTAATGAAACCAATATACATAAGCAGTGAAACCAACATACATATATAATGAAACCCATATACATATGCAGTGAAACCAGTGTACATGTGCAGTGAAACCACTATACACTTGCAGTGAAACCAAGAAACATATGTAATGAAACCCATGTACATATGCAGTGAAACCATCATACACATGCAGTGAAACCATCACACACATGCAGTGAAACCATCATACACATGCAGTGAAACCAATATACATATGCAGTGAAACCAGTGAACATATGTAATGAAACCATCATACACATACAGTGAAACCAACATACATATGCAGTGAAACCATCATACACATGCAGTGAAACCAATATACATATGCAGTGAAACCATCATACACATGCAGTGAAACCAATATACATATGCAGTGAAACCATCATACACATGCAGTGAAACCATCATACACATGCAGTGAAACCAATATACATATGCAGTGAAACCAGTGAACATGTGTAATGAAACCATCATACACATACAGTGAAACCAACATACATATGCAGTGAAACCATCATACACATACAGTGAAACCAACATACATATACAGTGAAACCAATGTAACATGTATTAAAACCGATAGCAAAACCCGGATATTGGTGGCGACGGACCAACTCGTCACCAACAGCCTACCCCGTAATAAATGCACTGACTAAGTGAACAGTGACACCACAGCTAGGTTTCCGCGACCCAACTAATACACCCTCATTCTAGGTCTTAAACAATTAATACCTGTCTCAAATTTTTAAAAAAATATATGCCATAAGAAGAATACCTCTCAAATACATTCCCAATCCAGAAAATTAGACTCGATCCAATTATTTTGTACACACATCTAGTATGCATCAATTGTTAACTGTGTCTGTACTCAGTGACAGTACAGACTTCGCACGTGTTCAGTGTTATCTCCTCGACCCACAGGTAATATTATACATAACTAGTCTCTAGCTGGTCTCAGACAGACCAACGTCATTATGACTCAACCCCTGCTGGGTTGGCCGTGTCGTTTTCCACTGCTGAATACACGCTATACATTCGTGATCTCCGTACACGACCCTAATCAGTATGCACTGAACTGTTAAAGGGTTAATGTAAATATTTAGGAAGAAATCAGTGAAAGGCAGGCACTTCAAGTCGGCTGAAGTCAATGACTATGATTGATGTTCTGTAAATATCACTTTGTCAACCAAGATACCGCCGCCATATGGTTACTAGGGAAGCGGTCCCATAGAGTCGCTATGACCAGGACTAAACCGACATGCTCACCTGAGCAATATTCTCATGCTAACAACTGTCATTGTTTTAAACATTAAAGAATTATGTTTTTAAACATTAAAAGAAATCAAATGATCAGAAATGTTATTGAGTGTCCTTATTGTTCGATATGATCAAGGTTTTTATGCCAGTATACGGTTATAAAATCATTACTTGTTCCTTAAAAATATGTATCTGAACTTCAGGATAGAACTTTGAGAAGATCTTTGTGTAAATAACGTATATCATTACATAATTTTAATGGTAATTATCTCAGAAAGAAAAACAATGTACAAGATAAAGAAAGTAGTTTATGCCGTTATTGTAATGAAGGCTATGTTGAGGATGAGTTTCATGTACTTCTCATTTGTAAATATGATCAGTTTCTTAGAAATAGATACCTCCCTATGATTTCAACTATGTACAAAGATGAACAACTGATGAAAAATTTGTTGAACTCCCGCAATGTTAATGCAATATCATCTCTGTCAATATTCCTGAAGAAGATTTTTGAAATTAGACGTCAATATTATATGTAAACTTATTATTACCTACACGTGACTGTACAATGTTGATACAAAAAAAACACCATTTCTGTACTACAGGTCATATGGCCTAAAATATTGAATAAACTTCTGTCTGTCTGATATGATTAAAGTAAAACTTCAGTGTGGATGTCTCAATGTTTAGAAGAGCCAGGCAGTTTGCCCATCTGGCCAAAGAGACTACGTCAAGTCAATGAAATATGAAATGTTCCGATAAGAGATGATAGTTTGGGGAAAAAATAAAACCAATTTCAGCTTGATAACAATTAGAATAAAGATACCTATGACAAATAAATTGTGTTAACTCCGATATGATAAAATTATTCATAGTCAAATGTCAGTCTGGACGAAACGTACGGTATCGTACGAAACCCGGAAAAACACGGGGGTTAACTGTGTATGGATGTGGAAAAAGTGTTCCGTCAATCCTGTTAACCTGTCCATGACCCATTCCGTGCATGAAATGTAGATGTGCAGGCGTGTGTGTATGTGTGTGTGTGTGTGTGTGTGTGTGTGTGTGTGTGTGTGTGTGTGCGTACAAGGAATGTGGCTAGGAGAGGGAGGTACGCACCAGTGATTAAACTTTGTTGACCCTTCCAAAATGCATCTTCATTATTACCACAACCCCTATAAACCCATCAAAGCAAAAGTGGAAAATTCAGATTATTACCATTCTATAATATTTCAAACATAGAAAAAAGGTTATTTTGAGCATGACCATTCTGAAATTACCCCTTCCACCACACATACACACACACACGTGCACACACACACCTGGACCAGTATCTTACAGCAATATTCCAGTCCTTATCAACCCCACGCCACTGTTAACACAACGACACAGACATCCCTCTTAATAAAACCCGAGCAATATCGCCCCTACCCCGACAGTTAGAGCCCACGATAAGCCCAATATAAGAAATGGCGGAACAATGCCAGACGAAGACCTCCTTGGCATTAACAAAACCAAACCCCCAAGCCAGATTTGAACAAATTTACGGGTGCATTTCTCTCGTGGCTTAATCTTGTGCGATAAGGGACTGCTCTCGGTGTGGATATCACAGAAACCAACAAGAGAGAGTGAACTCTTTATTGAAGTAGTTTATTTTCAGCATTAAGTCAAACATTTAATAGTCACGCCGCATTCAACCGTCGAGGCAGGCGCGAGTCTATATAAGAGTGTTGTGTTTGAACTCTGACTTACACAACACAATGCGGCCATAAAGGAAGGTACGTTCACTTTGACAGTACAGGTCTGTGTTCAGGGCGCCGTGGTATAAGGCTCATGTTGCCTACTGCCAATAGAACTTATTACCCACACTTTTCTCTCTAAAAGATGCACTTTTATTTATAATTTGGAGAAAATATTAATGTGACTTTATCTGATATCTGTATACGAAAACTATTCTTTTAAAACAATGTCTTCTTAAAGAAGCGAGATAGCTAGGGCATTTATACCCATACACTTGTGCTATGCGGTCATGAGTGTTATTCTCTAAAGTCAAAAACTTGATGACTGCTCGGTACTCGTTCTTTTCCATGTCCGTGTCCATTTGGACCCCTATCACGTTCAACACTGGCTGTCACTAATATACAAACCGTCATCAACAGACCAAATACACTTACAATGAACTACTCAAACAATGTACTACATTGACTAGTTCACTTTGTTATGGCCCATAGTTGAAAGATAGTCAGACTTAGAACTTTTTGTCCAGCCCTCGCACGCAGACAGGTTACGATATCAGCGAGTTTCTGTACCATTGATTACTGTATTAAATACACTAAATTAGTACTACTGACCACACTACGGTCAACAAGGGTGAGGACACTAAGATCAGTCGTTCTGACTTCTGTTTGACAGAGTTGGGGTGTACAGTTGCACTTGCAGGCGACCAGTGGACATTGTGTTCACTTAGTGTTACCGAAAGTGTTGAGCGCATCTCTTGCATACGTTTGAAGTTGATAAAATACACTAATGCTTGCATTGCATGGAAGGTACTGATATATCTCTCATACAATGAACTCATATTTCAGATAAAAATGGCAAGCATGGGGAATCGGCCAAAACGTCCCCGAACACGCCCCCTCGGCTACGTTCCAATCCGGAACCCGTCCTTCTTGGAAAGAGAGAAAACCGAGTTCAGGGACGGTCTTCAAACAATCTCCGACCTAATTCACTACGGGGACGGCATGAAGGCACGAGCACGATCCACCATGAAGACATCAACGAGAATGAACGACGCCAACATTGCCAAATATTACAACAATGTTCCCGATAGAGTGATCAGCCCTGAACTTAGAGAAAATGACGGACTGTTTCGACAGACGTCCTCAATATGCAACCGAAAATTGAAACCAGACAGAACTTCCTTGACTAATCTACAGTGCGAAGTCCTAGGCCCGTTCTTCTGTGCGGATTGTTCCAAAACGCGACGCCAAGACACGAACTGTGAGACTCACAAGGCAATGTATCCTCAAATTGCAGTTCACCAGCGAGCTCTAGTGGCACCTGAAAAAGTGATGCAGTTTAATTCCGCTATGTCCATGTCGTCCTTTAAAGACAAAAGGGTACTTTCTTGTGGATGCGTCGTCGATGTAGGGAATGCTCTTCACATACCTGTCGTTTACACACAGCACGACGTTCATAACAGGGTCAGACATGCGCACAAGGCCGGATGTAGCTTGGTACATAGAAAAGTTGTGCCGTCTACTAAAACGAACCCCGGCAGACTTGAATTGTTGAATACTGAGGAGCCGGAGTCCTACAACGTTGAGAATATCCGTGTCTCAGTTCACTTTAACTCGCCAACAGAAGAAGGAAAGCGATTTTTCAATGTTTAGGGATGATGGAGTGTGCCCTATCGCTGTTATAATGTTCGAACATTAGCTGGCATTGGATCTATAACATTACATTTTACTTTTGTTGTCGGAGTAAATTTCGTTTTTACAAGTGTAAAATGCTTTTGCTTATGCATGGGGATGGGAAATGTTGATTTATAACAAAACTGTGATCGAAAATATTGTAACTGTTATACTAGTATTTGGTATATGTAGGGGCCGTCGGTTAGTCTAGTGGTTAAAGCGTTCGCTCGTCACGCCGAAGACCCGGGATCCATTCCCAACAAGGGTACAATGTGTGCAGACCAGTTCTGGTTCCCCCGCCGTGATATTGCTATAATATTGCTAAAAGCGGCGTAAAACCATACTCCCCATATGTAACCGCTTATGTAGTAGGGTTTCGAATTTCAGAAACTTCAGTTAAATGTAAACTTTCTGACATGAAACATAAACTCTCATAAATGTACACGTGTGTTCATTAACTATTATTGCTGTGATGCTTAAAAGATATGAAGCCACGGATGGCCAAGTCGTCTAGGGCGCAGCAATTAGCTGCGCAGAGTTCCGTTCCTTGGGCCCGCCAGAAACCAATGGTTGTTGTGGGTTCGAACCCCGAACTCCCCGATTATGTTTCTTGGTTTGTCGGCAACATACTCGTCGGTTTCGCCAAAGTTATAAACGTCAGAGACCTGCATCACTTCAGGCATTCCTCCCATGTGAAGCTGTCACATTTTACTTTTGAATCCAGTCGACGGAGATACGTCTGAAAACAATACTTATGGGCTAGCAATAAAATAGACGAGGTTTGATTGTTTTTCCTGGAGGATTACGTCCATATCTAGTGCAATTTTTTTTATGTTTTACATCGCGTACTTATCATACCAACATAAGAAAACCATATAAGGATAACCTAGTTTATCCAGATTTCGTCCTGTAAACAACCGTGAAGATCCGGGGTAGAATAGGTCTTCAGCAACCCATGCTTGCCGTAAAAGGTGACTATGCTTGCCGTAAAAGGTGACTATGCTTGTCGTAAAAAGCGACTAACGGGATCGGGTGGTCAGGCTCGCTGACTTGGTTCATGCATGTCATCGATCCCAATTGCGTGGTTCGATGCTCATGATATAAATCACTGGATTGTCTGGCCCAGCCTCGATTATTTACAGACCGTCGTCATATAGCTGGAATATTGCTGAGTGCGGCGTTAAACAACAAACAAACCAACCAACCAACCTGTAAACAACTTTCCGGATTAAAGAATCTTTTTCACAGAGTATATGGCTTTTGATATATTATGTACGTAATGAAGAAAGACGCACAGGAGAGATGTTGACAGACTTATACGGTGTCACCAACACGTATTCAAGCGCTGCTTTCACTTTAGAAATAGAAATAATTTTTAACTGCCATCATATCATAATTTGTCACACCGACCGTATTGTCGTGATACCCCTGGCCATACCATGACGTCTATAAAATCGCGTTCTATCTTTCGCAGAAGAAAAACGCTAGTTTGCACTCAGAAATATTTACCTCACCTCGAATACATCCATTAAGGCAACTATAATTAACATTTAACCTGATAGCGCCCATTCAGGCATGAACGCACTGATATGATAACCAATAATCAATGATAATCACTTATTCCTAGGTTATTGTTACCAAGTGCCTCAATGTTGTGTCTGTTGCTATAAATGACACAGACACTATTCACATTATGACTCATTTTGTAATTACATCTCACAAACATTGAAGTCAGTTCGGCCATGTTGTTTTTTTATCTGGAGACACAATTATGTAGAAGCACACGCTATCACTAAAGCCTGGCTGAAATACAGCTATGCCACAAGAATCAGGTTAAAGATTAATATGCAACCAATATTTGTATCGAATGAGTGTGAGTGAGTGAGTTTTGTTTAAAACCGCTTTTAACAGTGTAACAGTTATATCGCGGCTTGTCAGCTTAATGTGGGAGGAAAGCTCGAAGTGATGCTGGTCTCAGACGTTTACCACTTCGGTGAAACCCATGTGCACGGGTATGGTGCTGACAAACCTAGAAGCATAATCGGGGCGAACCGGGATTCGAACCCACAATCATAGGTCTCTGGCGTGCCCAAGGGACGCAACTCTGCACAGCGAATCGTGGGGCCTTATACGACTTGTCCTCCCGTGCCCCCTTTGGATGGAATGACGTGAAGGAACATGGGTGACATTCACTTTATAATAACGAAACAGACAATAATAACGTCCTTACAGTCCCATTCATTAGAAAAGATGGTTAAGCACACATTAAGCACAATGATGAAGTAGGGTATCCCTTTACCCAACGGAAAACAACATATATGTAATTGTCGTAAAACCAATAATGAAGTAGCACAATATTTACTACCATTTAGTGTCTTAACATTTTCTGACATTAGTGTATTAACCACGCCAACATAGGCTACTGAATTATCAGTAAACAATAGAGGATGACACAATGCTTGATGCTGCACGTGCCAATCTTTAAATTGCTTCGAAATAGCACAAATATAGGATTTTGTCACATTTTTGTCTTGCATGACATATTTTGCTTCAAGAACGTACTGCTTGCACGAAACCAGGAGTAACAAAATCCATATTGATAGAGTATATGCCTTAAGCCTTGAATCCACAGCTGTGTGATTGAATTGGCTTCAGACATTGTACCCATATCGGGACCCGAACCCGGGTCTTCAACGTGACGAGCGGACGCTTTAACCTCTAGGCTACCCGACCGCCCCTCAACATCATGAAGTGATGTCAGCAGTACGTAGCATTGTTGGGTGGTCTATTCTGTAGAGAGAGTCTCATACGACACAAATATTTAATTACACGTCGCAGATAAACATTGTACCATACCCTTAAACGTTGCCTTATTCACTTTAAGATAGCTTTTACAAACGTTAAGCTGAACAGACTCTATTATCTATCAGTGAGAATTGCTCCCAATTTCACCACCATACAAAGGAAAGGTATTATCATTGCATCCAAAATGTAAATAGACCTGAACACCTAATGTTACCTAATGAATCAAGTAAATAGAAACATAAATGCCAGACATGTTTGAACTTTGCTCCGTATAAGTTTAGATGTTCAAACTAGTTCCAAATATCGATAAAAAGAAACCGTTACAATAGGGATACCATTATAATACAATACATAAGCACGTAGAAAACATGACTTTATTTTTTTAATGTTTATTCCCATTACAGTATAATTACAAATTTGTTCCAAGACACACACACATACAGAGAGAGAGAGAGAGAGAGAGAGAGAGAGAGAGGGAGAGAGAGAGAGAGAGAGAGAGAGAGAGAGAGAGAGAGAGAGAGAGAGAGAGATCAGAAATATCGTCAGCATTGATAAGTGCACATTCTTTATTTGAGGGCTGGGTTATGAAAGAAACATCTCGGCCCCCATCTTTTCCAGCCTTTCACGGCCCCGTTTCTTTTTATTACGAGGAAAAAACCTAATTAAATTGTATACAATTAAAAAAACTGCGATTTTATCAGAGTGTGTGTGATTGTTGTTTCATGCCGCAATCAGTATATCACCGGATCTGAGCCGGATACACCAAACACTGAAACAATAACGCCCGGGGCATTGGGGATCTATTTCGATTAATAATCACAATGGGTGGCGTGTTTGTGAGCAGGTGCCGATCAATTACAACATTAATGACAGCAGATAAATGTACTATTAAGCACATGGAAATGACAACACACAACGATACCCGATGTCACAGAGTAGACCCAGGCCGCCCACCCGGTTCTGAGAGTGAAGGTGGGGTCCTCTCAATCACGTTTATCACCCCTGTAATTAATGATGAACAGGCCGACACTGACATTACAGGAAACAGAAGGTCGAATCTACCCAATAACCATTAGATCCCTTTGTCTGTATAAAGTACTATCATTACTATTTGATAGTGATTCATAAACACATGCTCATGATGTAGTCGGAATGGAATTGTACAATCGACTCTGCTTTATGCAGAGATTTTTTTGGATATAGAAAGGGTTTTGTCGCTTTATTTTAAAACCACCTTTACGTCATGGCTATGAAATCGGATCACCTAATGCACTGCTTGTAATTGTGCATCGTGTTAAGCAATAACACAATCCATCCAAGCGACATTGTATGTTCCCGATCACCCTACATTGTATGACGTATTGCATGTGAAGATGTAACACAATAACCAAGTTTAATAGGAACAGTTCGGTTTTACTAATGTAAGTGTGATAGCTAGTGGTACATTTGGATACCTGTTGTTTTGAGGCTGTTGGTGAAAAGGGATGTACAATGTAGATGTTCAACATATACTTTGAGGCTTCAAAAGGAACGTTTATTTTGTTTGGATTTGTTGTTTAACGCCGAACACAGCAATATTCCAGCTATATGACGGCCGTCTGTAAATAATCGAGTCTGGACCAGACAATCCAGTGATTTACATCATGAACATCGATCCACGCAATTGGGATGCGATGACATGAATCAACCAAGTCAGCGAGCCCGACCAGCCGATCCCGTTAGTCACCTCTTACGAGAAGCACAGTCGCGTTTTACAGCAAACGAGCTCTTGTGCAAGTAATATTCATGAAGGCATTATACAAAAATAATGCATTCACATGTTTACACTTTACTAAATATTCCAAAGTCGTACATTTGACACTTAACAAACAACTTTTATGAAATTGCAAAGTCAGCATACATATGAATGAGTGAGTTAATGACAGGTTCAACTCTTCTATAGACAGCAGTTAAGTTATTTCAAAGCATGTCAGCTTTTTGTGGGAGGAAAGCTTGATGCTGTGGATGCAATAGAAACAACATTGCATAAAATGTTAGCGGTAATTGTGGTCATAGAGACGCGAGCATTATGCAAATCGTTACTGTATGAAGTCAAGTTGCTACACTGCACGATATTGCATATCAAATTAATAACAATTACCACGAATCGAAATGTCCTGTATACTGATAGAATAGAGAGGCCACTATTCCCGAACGTACCCAGCGACCTGTGCTTATCGTAAGAGGCGACTAAATGGATCGGGTGGTCAGGCTCAGTGTCTACCACTTGGGTATTCAGGGTAAGAATAAAGGTCCCAAGCAACCTATGCTTGTCGTAAAAGGGGAATAAATGAATCGGATGGTGAGCCTCAGTGACTTCATTGATTCCATGTCATCATATCCCAATGGCGTGGATCGATGCCCATTTTGTCAATTACTAAATTGCCTGGCCCAGACTCGATATTCCTTGCAATATTACGGTTTGGACTCTTTATCTTATTTATAGCAACAGGAATAGGAAAATGACTACACGCACTCTGTAAGTCTTTAGAGTTTAAGCGTACAACAGACACCCTACCTCTGCTGCTGCTGGGGTACCTTGGCCTTTGCCCTCGTGTGGACTCATAGCAGGTGCACCTTTCATCAGTATCGCAGTTTGGATGCAATTTTAGTTGTATCTGGAGACGAATATTAAAACTAAGTGTCACAACTTTATCAGTGTGGTTATCACGTTGAATGACGGGTAAGACGTCATGTTCACCAGGTCGACATAAGATCAGTATGTCCATCTGCTAGTGTCACTTCGAATAAGAATGGTGTGCAAGGCTGATCCGCAACTCATCCGCTCCCATCAAACCACTTTAAAAACCAAGTTTAGAATTAAACCATCTTAATTTCATTGCCATAATGCTATCTGAAGCTATTTAAGCGTGAAAGAAGCATCTTTCATAAATGATGCATAATCGATTTATAACTATTGTAATGTCCTTTCGATTAATAAAACCAAACTGTAATACTATCTGAAGTATCCACACTCTTAATACTGTGAGGTCCTTTAATTTTATGAGGACGTTACAAGGTACGAAAGGACTAGACTACTGACGTCACACCAACCAATTGAACGTGAGAAAGGCTATCAGTTTACAAAGTGTACGTATAGTTAAATGGCAGTGTATTTTGTTGTGTAACAATGATTGTTATGGTGTTACATTGTTTTGGTTGAGATTCGGGAAAGGGTCATTGCGTTGTGTTTGG